GAATAAAGGAATACATATCAAGTTTGACTATTGAAGTGAAAGAGAAAAAGGGAGGCTTTTAAAAATAATGACTGGGATTAATATTTGTTATGGCTTCTCAATGTAAAACATTCCCTTAAGTATTTAGATGAAACACTGCTTCTCTATTACATATTTGGCTGAATGTTCTCCTGAACTGTTATTTATTTTTAGGTTTATATTTTATCTCTTTCCTGAAGCATTTACTTTGCTTCAGGAAATTAATCATTACTGGGAACAAGAGGTGGTAGTTGTATGTCTGTCTGGTAGGGTTCAGCATGAAGGATATTTAATTAGATATTTACATATCTCAGTCGATGTTTGTTTTGGATGTTTTCCTAACAAAGTTGAAGCTTGCTTTGTGCTTATGGAATCTCTCATTATGTATGATGACACTCGAGTCCATCAGTCTATCTATCCATATTTTCTCCTTAAATATTTTTTATTTAGGACAGAAATTAAGGAATCTGCCTACTAGAGATGAGACATATTAAATGGGATTACTACTCATTATTTCTTTGGTAGCTGAGATGAGAAATGCCTGAATAGCAAGATATTGCTGTAGCTAAAATGGCAAGAGTTCTCTAGGGATTCAGCAAAAGCATAAGAGACCTGAAACTGACATTCTCTAGTGGTAGTTTTTTTAATCTCTAGAGACCAATGATTCAGTAGTGGTTTTCAAATCCCGACGCTACCAGTTCGCTATTGGGAGTGCGCGAGTGCATGCTCTCGCTTTGCAAGCATGCGGTGCTTTTGCGCAGGCGCAGAAGGTTCTTTGCATGTGCAAAACGTTTTTGATGACTAGCAACCCACCACTGTGATGATTGACTCACAATCATTTTGATAACTTAAGTCATGGGAGTGCACTGTCTACAGTCTGAGAGGTGTTGGTAGCGATTAAGATGCGATCTCAAAAATTGTTTCTTTATTTTAATTTACTTACTTAAAACATTTATATAGCTGCCTACCTTACAACAAACTCTTGGCAGCTCCTAATCAAAAACTAAAATAACATTAAAAATCCATGTTTAAATTATTCAATCCAAACACGTAAAAACAAAAACTTGGTAACAGGCCAAGCTTCCAATGTGCAATCACCTTGTCTTATCCCAGAGGTTGAGGGGAAAGTCAGGTCTTCAGTTCTTTTCAGAAGGCTGGGGCATGGGGGTGGGGGGACAGAAGCCTTACAAACTTCAGGGGTGTTCCATAGGGCAGAGGCTGGCATAGAAAATACATTCTAGCTCCTAGCTCCCATAAAATGGCAATGTTTAAAAGAAGGGGCATGCCCATCCTATCTATCCTGGTAGGATGGATAGCTATCCTTAGGGAAAGGCAGTACTGCAGATAACCTGGCCCTGTGCCACGTAGGCCTTAAAAGTGATGATCTGCACCTTAAATTGCACCCAGAAAGAAACTGGAAGCCAGTGCAGCTCATGCAACAGAGGTATACTTGGACAAACCTAAGGGCACTCTTCACAGTGCATGCGGCCCATTCCAGGTGTTCCCTAGGTCTGATATAAATGCAAAATCCCATAACTGGTGAAATGCAAATGATTCAAATTTTATGGAAGATAACATTACAATAACATCACAGTAGTTATTTATGATCTTAGAAAAGGCAGACTGAGAAAATAAGAGTGAAATGAGAAAAGAAACATAGGGAGCTAACGCCCTGGGTGGAGTTACTGTCTGGAAAATACAGAATGAAGAAGTGTAATGTGGCTTCAAAGCCAATCATATTTAGACATGTTGGCTTGAAGCCATAGGATTCAAAAGCAAAGACGGACATGTAGATAGCTCTAAAGGGGAGAGTAGAACTCATATTTGATCCTTTTGTGTTTTTCTTTTATTTGCTTAAGTGGAGCATTGGCATTTTTTCCCTTAGGGGTTTAGTTTTTTTAATGGAAAGGCAAACTTTTGGTTGCAGTACATGTGTTTACTTCCCCAAACCTTCAAAATAGTTAGTTGGGTGTAACTGAGGTCAGATTGTATTACTTACTGAAGGCATGAAAATCCTTCACTTTTTATTTGTTTTTCTCCAAAGATGATTGTTTCCTGTCAGAAGGGTAACAGAAGTTATAAAATGACTATTACTATACTTATAACTTGATTGATTGATTACATTCCATTAAATCAGTTTCATCTTTTAGTAACCACATAAATTTTTCTCCAGAACACTCTGTTCTCAATCAATTCTGCTTGTAATTTAGATGTTTATAATAGAAGTTATGCCAAATCATCCAAAGGAGATTCTTTCTAATCTCCTTTATGTGAAGTCTGCAAGTAGTTGCCCATCACAAAGTGTGCAAGTAGTTAAAAATGGTAATAATCCACTTCCAAGATGAATTGAAATAGAAAATCCCTTTCATTTTATACGTGGAGTGGAGGGAATAATGTATTTTAAATGTGGATTTTAAGCACATAGATAGTACGGCATGTTTCTGGAAGTGTTTGACTATAGAAAGCTTATTTAAAAGGTACATATATGTGCATACACACATGTATGCTTAACATGCACCGATTCCCTCAGTAGACTCCACCCACCTGTGTCCTTGAATCAGAAAGGGCTGGACATTTCTTCACATAAAATCCTGAAAAGCCAATCAACATTTATGCCAAAGTTAGAATCAAAGCTAACTTCTAAAAATCCAAATCATAATGTGAGGATACATTGAATTCCATCTGAAACATATTAAGGTGTTTTCCTGATTTAGGGAATCTTGCTAGGTAAAGTAAGAAAATCGTTGTGAAACATAAGGAAATTGTTTGCTTCGATTTGCTCATTATATTGTGCTAAAATGGGAATTACAAAAATGTCCATTTAGTATTTATCTCTCCAGGCAAACTTAAGTTTTTATGTCTCCAGCAGAAATTTAGGAGAGAGTGATGCAGCAATTTTGCCACAACAAAGGCATACACACAGCTGAGACCTTTATCCTGTGCTATAAGTTGAATAAACGACGAGGATTGCATGACATTGACCTAGAGGAAGGATGGGGAAGAATGAATCCATTGTTCACCCTCCAATCTGTACCTTCAGCAATGGAAAGAAAGCAAAATGAACAAGTAGGGCAGGCTGCTAAAGCTGGACTTACTCAGGCTGAAGAGGGATTGTTAAGCCACTGTTTCCGTGTGCTTTTGAAGGGCTTGAAAGCACTTCCTGGGGAAGGTTACAGCCAAAGGATGCCCATTTGGATCATCCCCTTGCCAGCAGCAGTCCAGGAGAATAAGAGGCACTTGCTAAGCAACCACCCGTCAGAACACACTGTTCATCGGCCTGTTTAGCAATCCTTTCCTTACTCCCACTGTCCTGCTGAAAAGATTGGATAAGGGCAGAAGATAATGTATTGGGGAAGTAGGGTTAATAATGAGACACAATATCTGAAAGGCTATCCACACTCTTGGACCAGGCTCAAAATTAGCTTTCCAACATAGCAGTCATTAAACCACAAATTCTAAAACTAAAACTTGTTGCAACCGACTCCTTTTCGGTTTCAACTGTCACAGTATGCGCTAGTGATGTGTTCTTGACACAGCTGCACTGACTTTTAGTGAACCCGACATCCTTTTTATAGTACGGATACTTCAATTACTTTATAATCTGTTGTAAAATTCTCTTGGAATCGGTAGGAGGCTAACTGGCCTATAATTCCTCAGGATTCCCTTTTTCCCATTTTTTCAAAATGGGGACAGCCTGTAAAGGATTTCCTAAAAATAATAGAGCCAGTTCTGACAATGGCTTAGGATACAATTTACCTGGCCTAGACACGTGGATTTATTTAAAGTCAATATCCTGACTATGTTTATGCCATGATCAAGTAGGAATCTCATTCCTTCAACCAACTCTTCAGTAACCAAGAACGTTCCATGACAAAACTGCTAAAGTTAGCTATGTAGCAGATGTGTTGTATGATCAATAGCCTAGGATGGCAAGAGCAGAGCATTTTATTTTTCTAAGAAATCCAACATTTGCATAAGGAATTCAAGTTGTAAATCTACTTAGGAGTTGTTGGCTTTAAGAATTCTGTAGACACAGAAGATGTAAGTGTGGTTGATTTAACTCTACGAGGACTTCGTGGCCAAATATAAAATTAAAAAAAAACCTAGAAATTTGTCCTAGCTTTGTGGTTTACAGAGTTGTGTCAACTATCAGTCCTATTTCAATATAAGAATTCCAGAACACACTCAGTCTCATAGTGAGTACAGTCACTAATAGCACTAGCTCTTTTTTGAGAGGGGAAGTGAGAGTATTAACTAGTGAAAAAATGCTACCTTGTCACAAAAATAATAGGTAATGTGTAAAAAACTCTGAAATGTATCAAATACAGGTAGTCCTTGGCTTACAACAGTTCATTTAATGACCGTTCAAAGTTACAATGGCACTGAAAAAAGTGATTTATGACCATTTTTAGGTTATGACTTTTGAAGCATCATGTGATCAAAATGCAGATGCTTGGCAACTGGTTCATACTTATGACCGGTGCAGTGTCCCAAGATCATGTGATCAACATTTGCACTCTTTCGACAAGCAAAGTCAATGGGGAAGCCAGATTCACTTAACAACTATGCTACTAACTTAACAATTGCAGTGATGGGCTTAACAACTGTGGCAAGGAAGGTCATAAAATGGGGCAAAACTCACTTAACAAATGTCTCACTTAACAACAGAAATTTTGGGCTTGATTGTGGTTGTAAATTGAGGGCTACCTGTAACTCAAATTTGAGTGTAAATTTGATTGACTTCTATTGCTACCATACCTATAATACTCTCCTAAAAAACAGAAACAAACCCTTTATGATTTCCATATAAGGATGCCTTCACATGGGGACATCTCCTCAAACTATCATAGTTGGTTCCTTCCCCCTCACCCCCAATACTTTAATTAGAGGTAGTGTTCCACAAATTAATCTATGGGAACTTTTTCTGAGGGTAGGTAACTAATAGATTTCCTTTATTTTCACTTATTTCTTATCTCTGTTAGATAACGAAGAACATCCTGAAGGATCTGTTGTGGAAAACTTTGTAGATGGTGCCTCTACTGTGGTGATTGGAAGGCCTGCTATTAGAAAGGAAATAGCCATACTTCGTGAGAAAACGAATGAGCAGCAAAAGCTGATGAACAAGAATAAAATGGTTGAGATACGTCTACAACCTCCTAGGGTGAGTCAGGATGGATAAAAATCAATGATTTTTTTAAAAAAAAACAAAAAAATCAGATTTTTTAAATTTAAATCGGATTTTTTTTATTTAAATCAGATTTTTTTTATTTAAATCGGATTTTTTTAAATAAAATGCTTTTTGAGGAAAATATATTACCATCCAAAGGTTATTCCATCATGAAATAAAGATTAGTTTTTTAATTATGTAGAATAAGGCTGTATATGTTTAATTTTTTGGTAAATAAATTCCATTAATCCATTCACAATATCATGCTCTTTCAGAGGTTTTTGTAAGATTATTGGGCAGTTTCTCTGCCTACAAGATATTATCACAGATGCTTGGTTTACTTTTGCAGTTCTCAAAACTGAATTTGACTCAGCAGAGATCACATGCCTCTTCTTCACAGCAAAAATGTTATAACATGAACAGAGTTGAGAAAAAGACCTTAATCCTATTGTTCTACAAACGTATGAATACAGAATCAACCCCTTCAGTGCTAAGTTTCAAGAAGTTCAGTGAATAGAATAGAAACAATATTTTTCTAATTGTTTGGAGTGGAATAGATCTGCACAAGAAGAAAGTGAAACTAAGTGTGAGGAGGAAGGGGCAATCAGACAAGCAGTACAAAATGAAAGTGAAACTTTCTGAGCACAATACTGCACAGCCACAGACAGACAAGTCTTTGGATCTTTTTGTGTGTATGACCTGAGGTTTATCACATTCTTTCCTTGGAGGAAAAAACCTTTAATGGCAGCAGGCCGTAAAAGAGACCCAGTTTGGCAATATTTTAATGAAGTTCCTTTAGCTATCGTTAAGGCAGGCATGCGTGCAAACTGCAAACACTGCAACAAAGAAATGCAAGGCCTGGTGGCCCTAATGAGGCAACATCATGAGAAGTGCTGTGATGAAGATGACCAAAGAAACACATTTGAACAGGCAGGATCTTCAGGTTGGTAAACATTTTTATTGAATCATATTTCTAAAGACTGCCTTGAACTGTCATGTTTGAGCAAAATTATATTTCTTATTATTACTGCATGTTACTGTCATTTGGTACAGTTATGAAGAAAAGCAAATATTCCTTTTGGGGCAGTGCTGTGTACAATAAGCAGAAATTGTATAAACAATAAAATAACAGCATTGACTTTTTTGTTTAGGGGAATTCATGGATTCTGGAAACTATCCACCTTCAAGATCACGATCCTCCTGTTCTACAGTTTCAGAGTTATCCATCCAGGATAGTGCTTCATTAGCATCAGCATCATCATCAGACACCCACAGCCACATATCACTATCACCTAAAAGAAAGAAAAAACCCTTCCCTCCTGGAACCACCATAGATAAGTTTGTGATAAAAACTAGCAGATTAGAAAAAGTTAATTGATGAAAAAATTGCCCAGTTTGTTTATGCAACGAACTCTTCTTTCCATCTGACTGAGAACCCACATTTCATTAATAGGGTTCAGTCACTAATGTTGTTGAAATTGCTAAATACTTCCGTAACAATCATTTTGCTGCAGCAGCTCTGAAAAGGATGGGTGGAACCAAGCTAACGCTCCCACAAGATGTTAGATGGAACTCTGTGGTGGACTGTTTTGAGCAGTATATCAAGAACTGGCCTATTCTGATGACAGTTTGTGAAGAAAATCGAGATAAAATAGATGGCACTGTCACGGCCAAAATCCTCAACATTGGGCTTAAGAGAAATGTTGAACATATGCTGAGCATCCTGAAACCCATCTCTGAAGCTTTAAACAAAATACAGAAAAATAGCTGTTTTATTGCTGATGCTGTTGAAATTTGGAAGGAACTGAGTGAACACTTAAAAACAGAACTACACATGGACAGAATTAAATTACAAGCATTAAAAAAACGAATGGGACAAGTACTGTCTCCAGCTCATTTTTTGGCAAATATTGTCAATATCCAGTATCAGGGTCAAAACTTAAGTGCTGAGGAAGAGGAGTTAGCTATGACAAGGGTATCCAGCAATCATCCATCTGTAATGCCAACTATAATAAACTTCAAAGCTAAGGGGGAACCATTCAAGAAATATATGTTTGCTGAAGATATTTTAAAGAAAGTCACACCAGTGAACTGGTGGAAGTCACTTAAGCACTTGGATTTAAAGACTGTTCAAGTAATGATTTCACTTTTAACAGCAGTAGCTTCTTCTGCAGGCATTGAAAGAATATTCTCTTCCTTTGGACTCATTCATTCTAAATTGAGAAATCGTTTGGGACCCGATAAAGCAGGAAAGCTTGTTTTTCTTTTCCAGATTATGAACAAAGAAGAAGATGAAGATGACGAGTGAGCTACAGAGGACAGTATTTAAGTTTTTCATGTGTAGGCTGGGCTGACAGTCTAAGTTTCTTAAAATATATATATTTTGTTTAGCCAAATTAGTTAACAAACATGGATGTTTGTTTAAGCAAATAACATATGCTGTAATGTTATTGTTTCAGTTGAATAAATCTATTTAAATTGTTATTATTAAGGTAATGATTATTTTTCTCCTTCCTAAGTACAACAGAAAAGTTGTCCAAATATGAATGATTAACCTATTAAACTGGGGATAAAAAAACTAATATGAAAAGTTGTTATTCTAAAAATCTTCATCTACTTGCAATATTAAAGTTATACCAGCAAGAATTAGTCTTTATGTAGAAAACTATTATTTAAATCAAGCCTTACTGACTAGTGATTTAAATCGTGATTTAAATCGTGATTTAAATCAGTTTGATTTAAATCAAATCCACCCTGGGGTGAGTTGATAAATGCTAGTATGAAATTTATTAGTAACAGTATGAAGTAGCTTCAAGGATCTAATGGTTCCATTTAGGATACTAATCTTCTCTGAATGGCACTGCATAATATTTGACTGAAGATTTTTCTAGTCTGTCTCTTTTCTAGTTTAGGGATGCTTGAGTTAAAAGATGATATATAATTTTTTACTGAAGATTTAAGTACAATAGTAAAGTCTGATATAAACTAAAAAAAGAATTAAGAGAATGAAAGATGCAAAGGAAAAGAAGAAAAATATAAAAAGTACAAAAAAGGAAGAAAATAATATGGTAATTAAAGAAAATATATAAAGAACTGACTTCCAACTTACGTCACAAGTATAAACAATTTTAGTAATTATTTTCCCTCTCATAGTTTACAGCCAATGATATCTTCATTCCATATCTATAAACAAAACCATAAAGCATCATTTTTTCAGTCGTGATGCCAGCAGGAAGTCCATTATCATTTACCAGAAATAAGAACATGTTTTATTTTAACCTTGATCAATTAAGCCAACTTCTTTTACTTCCACTGATTTAAAAGTTTAGTTCATTAAAATAATGTCATAGAATTTGATTTCTTATCATTTTTTCCTCACAAGATTCTTCAAAGTTTTAATAAGCCTATTTTATAAATCCAGCATAAAAATAAAAAATATATATTCAGGTCACTGTTTTGATTTATGATTTGTATTACCCTTTTAATTTTTGAAACATCGCATTTGTTTTGAATATGCAGTGAGATGACTTTTTCTATATCATTCTCACAGCCTGATCCATTTTTGATGCCATTAATATTATTGATACTAAATTCTGATTTCGTTTTTCAAAAGCATCCTTCAGTATTTGAAAATCTTACTCCAAATTTATCTATATCCTTAATCCATTTATAACTTTCTAGAATCAAAGTGGTATTTAGCCTTTTGCTGCTTATTTTAATTTTTAAAAAAAACTTAATTTTTTTTCTTTCATTAAAGATGTACGGCAAACTCATCTAGTATTTTCAGACTTATCAATCCAAAAGTCTCTAATAGTTTAAAAGTAGTTAATTTCCAATTTCTGAACATGAACAGAAAAGAAAGATTGTGAATTTACTGTCCTTTGAAAGGCACCAACTGGAACTGTAAGCAAGATGGCTATTTCTGTCATTTCCGAGTGTTCAAAACCCACTATGGTCCACTGATGTGCAGTCTCCTTATATGGAACAACTGTTCATAGTGTATATGGTCAGTCTCCCGACCTTTCTTTGTCCATGTGTTCACACTTACAACCTGCAGTATCCCCATGGCCACATGATCAAAATTCAGGCATTTGGCCACTGGTTCATATTGCATAGTTGCAATGCCCTGGGGTCATGTGATCCTCCTTTTGTCAATGGGGAAGCCAGATTCACATAACAGCCATGTTACAAACTTAATAACACCAATGATTCACTTAAAAGCTGTGGTAAGATATAACCAGATCTTTACAGCTATTTTCACTTAACAATTCTCTTGCTTAGCAAGAGAAATTTTGGACTCAGTTGTGGCTGTAGGTCAAGGATGACCTGTATTTATTTTATTTATTTTTATTTGTCAAGCATGTATAAGATAACAGATAAAAGTATAACCATGAATACAGGAAATGGATACTTTTCTTGGATTCTTGGGATTAGGCTAAAAAGTAATTTAGATGGTAGTGACATATAATGGTAACAATAGAATGAAGAAGTGCTGTTAAATTGGGTGGATAAAATGATAACTAAATTATAGGTGAGGGTTTTGTTGTGCAATAGGTAGTATTTCACAGAATTTTATTGGGCAGGCAGAGAACCAGGTGATTTTAGTCTTTTGGAAAGCTGTGATCTGGCTATCTTCCCAGGCATTTAGTCAGCGTGGGAGTGAGCCCAGCCAATGTAGGGATGTTGTGAAAGTGTCATAGGAAGTGTGATGTTCCCTTATGTGAAATTATTGTTTTATCTTTTGTTTTTGTTGGCTGTTGTTTTGAACCACTACGATTATTGTCTGTAATATCTTAGGTGCCATATCAAAAGTAATCAGAGATTTCACAGTAATTGTTCTCACTTTGATCATCTCTTTTTTTAATCAAATGAATTCTGTTAGAGAACAACATATTTTATTGTATTATTCAGCTGGTAGCAATAGTTTTTGTGCATGTTAGTCTTTAAACAAGTTTAGGAGGCAGATCAGTGAAGAAAGACATGTTCATTTAGATGGCAAAATATGGACTGTAGAACTCTAGAATTCTTGGACCCACATAATACTTACTGGTTACTGAGATTTTTTGCAGAAGATAATGAATTAGGTGGATGCTAACAAGTATCTTAGATGGCGGCTAATCCAGCAAGGCACTTCTGTTTTTGATTATCTATTTATTCTTTTACAGTTAAAGAGAACCTTAATATACATGTGCTTTGAAAATTTAATATACTTTATAGCTCAGCAGAGATTCTATCAGAAACTACAGTAGGTCTCTCAATTTGCCTTAATTAGATGGGGCGGCAAGTTTTAAATTGGAAATTAGAGAAGACTGCCAGGGGAAAAGAGAAAATAATACTTAACAGATCAGAACAGAACATTTCTTTCCATAAATTTGAAGAATTTTGGCATGGCCCAGGAAGATTTTGGCACACAGTTGTCAATCAGGAATACAGCTGGTGAGTGTAGTGTAAAGGGATTATTTCTAGTTGTAGGTTCTGTCATTCAGTCTTCAATCTTTTCCCTCAGGTAAAATTGATACCAGTTAGCTGCCCTTTACACCACCCCTTTTGGTTTTGCTATACTAGCAATGCATGAGGTTTTCCCCCTCTCTTATTCTGTCCTTCATAGTGCCATATTTAGGCTGGTCTAATTGGCTTCACTGTTTTCTAACTGGCCCAAATCCAGGCAGAGTCTGAGTAGCTGAAAACTATTCAGGATGTTTCTTGGACAGGCTCTGAACTTGGTTTTCACAGTCTCTCGAAAGCTTTTGAGGCCTGTGTGTGTGTGTGTGTGTGTGTGTGTGTGTGTGTTAAAAACTTGGCATGTGGTGCTTTTATATTCTTGGAAGCTCAAGATGGATTGAAGAATGAGCACTGATAAAACAGGCAAGCTCTGATTATAATTTATTGAAGTGATAGTGATGGAGTCTTTGCTATATAAAAACCATCTCCTTGCTACCTAAAGATAAAAGAATCATGATAAACTATTTTCAAGTGATCATGGGAGGTTAAGCAGTTACTTATTACTCAAACTTAAATATCCATCCATCTAAAAAGTGAAACTCTGGGTGGAGAACAGAGGTAAAGGCATAATACAATTATCAAAATCTGTTTTAAAAAAAACCCAAGTCAAGGCCTCTATGAAAATCTCAGTAGCAATATATTGCACACACCCGTGCCAGAGCTCTGTTAACATCCTAGCTGACGTGTTTGGGTGGAAGAGCCCACTAGTTTTACTCTATTTCACCAAAGAAACTCAAGCCCACTTTGCCAGACCTGGTGGTGGGATGGGCAGAACCATCAAATATAGGCAGTCCCACAAGTAATCTGACCCCATGCCAGGTAGAATTTTTAAACTAACAATCAGCACATTGAATTGCACCCAGAAATCTACAGGGAGAAATGTGGTAGCAAAGTTATATGAGAGTGCCATGGCACGGTTGATCTTAGCCACAGAGAAAGGCTATCAGTGAAATACATCCCATAGGACACTGTATTAAAAAAGCTTATATTAAGTGCAAAGAGCTATGGTAATATACTTTTCTGAGGTGGAGGCAGAGAGTGATCACATTTTTAAATTATATTGTTAGGTTCAAATCTATAAAGTTATGTTAAGCAAGCATCAACATCATCTCCCCAGCAATCCATATGGCTCTCATCGTAAAGATGTTCCATAAGTATTTGAAATTGATTTTACTCTCAGGTCTGGCAATAAGGTGATTGCAAGTCCTAGCCAGTATATGGAATTGCATTCTGTTCTCCTTTGAGAGATGTTGAGTTGTTCTGGATGTCCATTACCTTTTACTTTGGCTTTTGTAGTTGATTACTTTTAATATATAAACTAAACAGAGTTATTTGGAGTTGGGCAGCTTCTAAATTCTAATAAAATTTAAAAAATAATAACACAAACCAAGCATAGACATGACAAACCTTGAAATAGCTATCTCAGAAGCCAAAAGCAATTGCTGTCTCTTTAAAAAAAAAAAAAAAACTTGAATTTTGATATGCTCTGAGCTTTTCTGTTCTGTTTTCTCTTTCTGTATTGTTGGTGCATTGCAGACACCCTGTCAACAGGAATTGGATCAGGTTTTGGAACGTATATCAACCATGCGCCTGCCAGATGAACGTGGTCCATTAGAGCATCTTTATTCCCTGAACATCCCAAATTGTGATAAGCAAGGCCTTTACAATCTCAAACAGGTAAGAAGAGCACTTGGGAGACTGTGGAAAACATAGTAAAAGGATTAGTGCATAGTTCCACCCTAAGCAGATTCATGTAAAACTGAACACGAGACCATGCAGTGGTGTATTGTTCAATTGTTATTGGTGTATTAATAAACAATTGTTTTATATAGAACGAATATATTATAGTCATTCAAAGGAAAATCACAGAAGAGAGAATATTTTCCCATTCGTATTGTTTTTCACATCCCCAGTGGGCATACAATGCCTGTTTTGCTTTAAATATTTTAATTTTATGCCCATTATAGATATGGTAAACTATCTCTGGAGCATGGAAAAGAGGTTTTGCTGTTTCTATGTAATTAGTGAGTGAGTTGCCCAGATGAGAGTCTACCTGCTATCTTCTGAGTCATGTTTTTATTGTCTTTTATTTCATTGTCTTTAAAACAACTTTATATCATAAACATTAAGAACAAGAAGCAAACTTTAAAAAAACTGAGTGGAATTAATTAATTAAAAAATGTATTGTAGAACACAAAATTGTTGATAGTCCACATCTTTGACTGTCTCCATGCTCATTTGGGCTTCTTGGAGTAGGGAATTCAACAATATACAGAGTGTTCATTCTGCTGTTTTCTTAAAGAATTTTTTTTCCGATTTCCCATCAATTTTGGAATCCCTATTTTCCTCCTTTTCATCATCCTTATACACTGGAATCTGAAAACAGCTAAGAGTAATGACATGGTAGGCATATTTGATTTCTACAGATTTGTTCTTCAGTTAGAAAATTCACTGCATTGGTGACACCTTGCTAGATCTCCATATCCAGAAGGAACTACATTATGTCAAATGTTTATTTTCTCCTGAAATTATTGATATTGATACATCAAAAGTGACAAGTTTGTAAAGGGACAGATGTTCTAGTCAGGAGACAGGTGGTTGTTGTTAGTTGTGAAGTCATGGCTGACCCATCGCAACCCTATGGACAATGTTCCTCCAGGCCTTCCTGTCCTCTACCATCCTCTGGAGTCCATTTAAGCTCACATCTACTGCTTCAGTGACTCCATCCAATTCATTCTCTGTCATCCCCTTCTTCTTTTGCCCTCAATCTTTCCTAGCATTAGGCTCTTCTCCAGTGAGTCTTTCCTTCTCATTAGGTGGCCAAAGTATTTGAGTTTCATCTTCAGGATCTGGCCTTCTAAAGGAGACAGGAACCATGTCCTAATTTTAGTTGCTGGCATGAACTATATTTCTAGAGATTATTCAAAAATACATACCCTGGTTTTTAGAAAGTGTACTTAAAGATCCTAGGAAAAACATCAGCCATTTGTCAAAAGGTCTCTAGGCTCTTGAATTTGAATGCCAAACAAAACATCTTGTTCCTGAGAAAATACAGTTTCTAGATTAAGTCCTAGAGCAGAGGTCCCCAACTCCAGGCCACAGCTTGTTAGGAACCAGGTTGCAGAAGTGGCAAGTGCATGCGTGCCTGCCACTCACACAGAACTATCCCCTCTTCCCCCGCCCCACCGGCTGGTCCGCCAAGCTGGAAAGGTGAGAACCACTGCCTTAGAGGAATAAAGGATGGAGTCCATGTCCACAAATAACATAGGGAACAAGGTTTCTTGGCAGGATCATAGAATCAGGAGCTTTTTCTCATTTCAGATATCCCTAGGTGAGCCCACTTGCCATTTTCTAAAGATACATCAATAATCCATCCAGTTTTTCCTTTCTAAAAGACATTTTCTTTTCTTAGAACCTCCTGTTGAGACATACAAGAGTGTGAACATCAATGTAGGGTGTGGTTGCTTTGATGTAACTTTCTTCTTTGTAAGACAAAGGACATAACCCCAGTTGCCTTCAGGGGTCTAATTATCTTGGAAGGCCCACACCCATGGCTGTGGACAATGCCCCTTCAATTGATTAGTGCCCTGAAGGAACTATTATGTGCTCTTTTTAAATGAGATCAGATTACAGGCAGATACATGTGGAGTGGGGACTCCCTTCTTGGTACTGCAAAATAAAATAAGCATTGCTAGAGGGTTTGAAGCATATTTGAGTTAAAAATACAGAAAAGTGCAGTCTGTATGGGCAAGAAGAAGAAATATGTGGCTGACTGCTTTGCTCATTTGATTCCCATTGGCCATACATTTCTTCAGTATCTCTTTCTTAATTACAAGTGATTGTGACATGTAATTTAAATAGGAAGTATCTAAATTGTAAATTTGGCCTGCTGATGTTTCATTATTACATTGTTAATCTCAGACAATATGACTGCAAGCAGTCATTTGATCCTCCAAATCTTGTAATAAATCAAGTTTTCCAGCTTGATGTTCTAGTCCACAGGTGTTAAACTCGCCGTGTCACGTTGCCATCATGTGACGTTTCCCCATTCACGGAGTTGGGGTGGGCGTGGCCTGTGCGTGATGCATCCGGCCTGCAGGCCACCAATTTGACACCCCTGTTCTAGTCTATAGAATTGGCTGGCTTTAAACATCCTAAGAAAATGGAATGGTTTGAGTAGGTTTCAGTATTCAGCAGATACTATGGTTGAGTAATAAATCCTGGTGATTTTGGAAGACTGAGCAATCATTTGTCATGATTGTCAACTATAGAAGGGTCTATTTAGCCAGCTGAATTATCAATTCTTCTGCTTCCCCTCTCTGTTTTTAGTGCAAAATGTCAGTGAATGGCCAGCGAGGAGAATGTTGGTGTGTTAATCCCAACACTGGGAAAACCATCCTGGGATCTCCTACCATTCGTGGAGATCCTGAATGCCATCTCTTCTACACTGACGATGAGCAGGAAGACAAGGGAACACCAGCCTTTCAAGTGCAATAGATGGACACATTCCTACTCTCTGTTTTATGGCTTGGCCTATTCTCAGTGCTGGATTTTACATGGGTTTTAATGCATCTTGATTTTTTCCTTCGTGTTGATGTTCCAGCAAATCCCCAGGGATTTTTGGGTGGGTGGGTGGGTGGGGAAATCTGGGCTATACATTTATCTCAGGTGCTTGCACCATTGGGAAAATACAATAAAGGTGGTGGATAGAAAGGTTTGATATCTCAGGCGTTCTCTTATCCTGCTCCCAACTCTACCCAAACTCTTCTAAATCACTTTTACTCTTGCCAGAAGGAGCAAAGAAAACGAGGTCAGAACAAAGAGTTAACCTGACCTCTTCACCCACATGTGCTCCTGCTCCCACCAGGCTGGATGAGATAATCCTTACCCTAATTCTTTCTCACCACCCAAGCCAAAGACCAAAGATTGTAAATACTACATTGTGCCTGCTACACAGAGCCCTGCAGTCTGTCTATGTTGGTCCCATTTGATTATTAGGTGTGTTATAGCTAAAGGACTAAAGAGAATCTTTGCTTAGGGATCAATATTTCTTGGAAGGCATGGCCAGCAAGGAGCTACACCATGCCACCATTTTGTCCTAGAAGGCACTGCATTTAATATAAGGTTTACAAAAGTGTAAATCCCTGCTACCACCCCCTACCCCCTGCCATTAAATGTTAAAACATCAACATGTAGCCTTATTCACTGAGAATTCAATGCCACGGATTATTATTCAGCATCCTGCTGCCTCTTAGATAAGACTTCATAACTCTTAAGAAGCAAAAACCCATTTAAAATCCATGAGTAGACCAGTCATTCTCCCTACCCAAAATGACGTAGGTCCAAGATGAGCAGTGCCTGTGTCTCTGTAAGTAAATGACACTAAATATAGTGCTTTGTAAACCTTGAAAGTGGACAGATGATATGTATATGTTCATTGAGATGCATACAAGCCTGTATAGAATAATCAAATCTGGGAGCTAGGAGAGATATGGTGTTGAACTTTCAGTTCCCAGTAATGAATTAAGTTTCTCAGATAACCATTTCACCCTCTTGAGTTTGATTTTGCTTTTGGGTGGATCATGGAAATGTTGAAAAAAATGAGAAGCAGTTGCATGTATTATGTCTTCTTGTATTATATATGCCAATTTCTATTTACTGAACAGTTGCTATTAGTATAATGTTGAAGACAGGAGGTTTTGTGTGTGTTCCTTTTTTTTTATGCCATATATATTGGAAGAGAAAAAAAATGAAACATTTCCATCTTTTTTCTGTAAGAACACAGCAGAAAGATGACTGTAGAAAAATGACTGGGCTTGTCTCTGGTTAAGATAACAGAGTTCTCCTTCAGGCAACTTGCCATTTCACTGCATCCTTTTCACACATGCAACTCGTGTTGTTCTATCATGGTTGATGCCTTGAAAGAATCTCCTTCCTTCTCTACCTGCCTCCCCTCCCAAAACTACAGCACTCTATGACAGTTCATAATCTGAGGCATAAGCCATGTTTCTTTTCCACTTCCATAATCTCTGGTGAAAATGAGGGGGGTGGAATTGTGAATTACTGAGAATGTCAGTACCTCAGACCCATAGGCAGGTACATATACACACCTGCTTCAAGAGAGAATATTTTTTTAAAAAATGTTTCATGTTGCAAGACAGAGACTGGCAGAGGAAATGAGTTGAAATTTAAACATTAACTTTGATATTTAAATTTCAACCTATTATTAATATTACATTTGAATTTAAACATTTTTCCAGAGCAAATTGTAGACAGTGGATTATTCCCAGTAGGAAAGCAGATATATGCTAAAGAATTAATATGCTTTTGATGACAAGAAATTCTGTGGAGAAAAAAAGGCAATGCTATAAATCAGAGGTGTCAAACTCATGGTGTCCCAGCGGCATCACATGACATATCGGGACTCTTTTCCCCTTCACTAAACCGGGCCAGGTGTGTGATGCATCTGGCCCGTGGGCTGGGAGTTTGACAACCCTGCTGTCAGTGAATGTGATGGAGTAAATCTTAAATTGCACTGGAGAAGTTCTTCCAGCAGTCACAGTACATAAGGAATAAAACCATTGTGATAAAAGATGGCACATTCTTATTCATTGCAGTGAATGAAAACCATTATTTTTTTTATCAGGCAGAACCTTGATTATTTGTTCTTTTTAAACATTTATGCTTGGTATATTCCAAGCCCAAATTCATCAAGCAAATATTCTTCTCATTGGGAAGAAAATATTTGTTCCTTTTTATTCACTTTCCACTTCCAATCTAGCAATTTAGAAACTAGTATCGGTGCCTTAATAGAGGAATACCACCTACCCCTTAAGTTTATACTCTTAACTGTAGATATTTCTTCAGGAACAAACCTAGAACTATGGTGATAAAAACACTGAAAACACTTCATGTTCTGGGAATATAAATCAACATTTCTGTTTGGTTTTATTTTTCCTGTGGGAGGCATCCAGTTTTCGTACTGCAACATTTAGTAATTAATAATAATTGGTGCTATCTATTTTCTATCAATACCCATCAAAGAAGAATTCAGATACTTTCCATGTAAATACTGCCATTGGAAGCTGATGCTTACAATTTACTCCTGTTTAGAAATCACAATGCTGTTTTCTTTATTTTGTTTGATTCTAAACTGTAAGAAATTTGAAATAAATTAAATGGGATGCCAGAAAAAAACATGTAGTGATGGTCTGGTTATTTGTACATCCATGCCTGAATGTAGCTATCCTAGTCATTTTCTACAGCCCACAGTATTCTTCCTTCTCACATGTACACCTGTTTCACCAGTTACCAATGGTCCCTTAAAGTACAAAGTACATCTGATTGTCATTTTGGCACGGATAAGAGTTTCTGCATCATTGTATAGCAACTTCATCTGTCTGCTGGCATCACCCCACAGCATAAAAGAGCCTTCAAACAAGGTAAATTGGATTGAGCTCCGAGCTCTCAAACACTCCTGAATACATTCAATTCTGACACATCTTCCACCACAAACAGCACTCTGAGAAATGTAGTACAAAGGCAGCTTTGCTGATAAAGTATTCATTATTCCTTGAAATGCGTATTTTTATTTAACAGATTTAAATCCTTCCTCCAGACTGGCTCTAGACATATTAGCACTCTGGGCAAAATCATATTCTGGTACTCCCTATGATTACTGCATATTTAACCCTCAAGTTGGCATACTGATATGCAGAATGCAGTTTCCATTTTTTTGATATATAACTTTAATAAGCTAAGTCATGTGACTCGGTTCCTTAGTCAGATCTTTGTCTTGCTTCGGTAATATTACCAACTTCTTTAGTTATAATAATCATTTCTTTTTTGTGACTTGAACATCCAATTAAGGATACTGTTCACTGCCAATCAACCAACTTTATGGGTGTTTTTCAAAAGCATAGTTATAAAGCAATAATGAAAGATTAGATTTTGTTCTTGAATACTTCACTAGTCTTTTAAATGTTGGTGCCCCCTAAAATTTGATCCTAGGTTGCCTAGGCTCAGAAATGGCCCTGCCTGCCATAATCAAAACAAGCTTCCAATAGCTCACAATTACCATTTATAATAGGAAAACATATATTAAACCCAAAGCAATACCTGGAATGACACTCCAAAAGCCCTCCAGAAAAGATGTTTTTAGCTTTGTCCAGAAATCAGATAATGTTGGAGACAAACCTACTGTATAATGAGCAAACACCCAACAACAACACACACAGAGAATTCTTCCATGCTTTGATTCCCACTTGCCAAAAATGGGGAATAACCACCTAATTCTGCCTTTGACCAAAGTGTTTGGGCTGACTAATAACGAATTATGTTCCTATGAGCAACTCAGTGCCAAGCAATTAATGGCTTCATGAGTTAAAACCAACAATTTAACTTGTACTCAGAATCTACCAATAGAAGAGAACATTTGTAGTTCAGGACTGAACTGCGGGATCCTTGGTGCTGTCTGAGCTTAGTTGTTTTCTTGCAAACGTTTCATTACCAAACTAAGTAACATCATCAGTGCTAGTAGGGAGTAGGATTTGTTCTCATTTGATTTACTCACTTGTAAGCTAACTGGAAGTTCATGCTGGCCCTGCAAAGGAGTAGGATATATACATAGTGACCTACTCACAGGTGCTTGAGTTGGATATACTCAAGCACTTGTGAGTATCTAGGTCACTGTATTTTACACCAATTGAAGCTTCCGGGTAATCTTTAATGACAGTCCCATGTAGCATGTGTTGCAATAGTCCAATGAGGAGGGCAGATGCCCATTATATTGTAAGCAGAAAGACATTCCTTGGAATTAAAGGAGGTTTGTTCATTTTTTTCTCACCTTTATTATTTTTATAAATAAGTCAAGGCAGAAAACATACTCCTCCCTCCCTTTAGTTTCCCCATAACATCAACACAGTGAAATGAGTTGGGCTCTGAATAACTTTCCTTTGTGTGTGCTTTTACGTCGTTCCTAAGTTTTCTAATCAAATCAACTAAATTTCTTTGCTCAGAAAGCCATTTAGAAAGTGTGCATTGTTTTATCTATTTAAACATATGATTTCTGAATTTGTCAATAGATTAAACGTAGATGTGTGTGGTCAACTGCTATCCAGTTCCAATCTGGATTTCATATAGGATTCGTGAGTAACTTAGGATAGGGTTGATTTTTTTCAAAATATATAATGGTACCCATTGAGCTGCTCATTTTCTTTTCTTTTTTGGGGGGGGGGGGGAACATTAGAAATTTTTGTAGCAATTCAAGAAAAGGTTTCAGTCTTGCAGTTCCTGGGATAATAAACTACTCAGGACTTGTAATATTAGTGTTTGAGACCCCTAACTTAACTCTTGCAAAAGCAAATCCACATTGGCCACAAGTATCATCTGCATGGTCTGCTCAACAACAGATCACCCAGACAGGTTTGATTCTGTTTGGATGGTTTAGTCTTAGGGTCTTTGAGTCTTTTAATACCCTGTTCTCCCCCAAATAAGACATCCCCTGATAATAAGCCCAATTGGGCTTTGAGCGCATGGCAATAAGGCCAAGCCCTTATTTCAGGGTTCAAAAAAATATAAGACAGGGTCTTACTTTTGCGGAAACACGGTAGACTGTAAGTATCCCATTATAAGAGATTTAAAACACTTTGCTTTAAGAACCCATAATTGCATTTAAAATTGCACCATAATAGGCAGAAAGGTAAACACTTTTAGTCCATGTTAAGATTTGTTCAAACCTAGTAAAGGGCAACTGCATTTTACTTTAAAAAGTTATGTCTGTATATAAATTAAAGTTCTAGGCAAGCCATACATGCCTTTTTCCATGCGGAGGGAAGCAGTAAGCAAAATCTTTAGGTCCTGTTTAGCATCTTTCCAAGAAACTCCCAGTTGCAGTGTTAGAATTCACATTATATATTGTCATTCATGAAACCAGATGCCACACCTGAAAGCAGGGATAGAACTACAGCTAGAGAGAAATGGATTTAGTAGAATTACAGCACCCACATGAGGCCACTTGCAAAACTGAAGCCTATCACTGCAACTCAGTATTTTTTCCATGTACAATTTGATCATTATGAAAATGATAGTATTCTGTAACTACGCACAGCGTGCATTACCTACAAAAAAAATCAAATGTCAACAATAAAAACATATTAAACACACAATCCTAATACAATCAAAATCATTGTAACAATCATAACACAGACATTTCTGCCTAGTCCTGCCTCAATCCCCAAATATATGCTTTAAAAACGTTTTTAAAGCACTATTTTTGAATTCCCAAATTAAAAGTGAGAGTATAATCTTTTTTATGCTTCTTGGTGGGGGGGGCATGCCACTGGAGGGGAGCTGCTGAAGAAAACCCTTCCTTTCCATTGTACCTCAGAAGGGAGAGTGAGCACCCTCCCCAGGTATTTTTTGGTTGGGCAAATGGTTGGCTGCAGAGGTGCGTTTCAGCAGGTTCTGACCAGTTCGGGAGAACTGGTAGTGAAAATTTTTAGTAGTTCGTAGAGCCAGTAAATACCACTTCTGACTGGCCCCGCCCCCATATATTCTCTGCCTCCCGAGTCCCAGCTGATTGGGAGGAAATGGGGATTTTGCAGTAACCTTCCCCTGGAGTGGGGAGGAAATGGAGATTTTACAGTATCCTTCCCCTGCCACACCCACTAAGCCACGCCCACCAAGCCATGCCACACCCACCAAGCCACACCCACAGAACCGGTAGTAAAAAAAATCTGAAACCCACCATTGGTTGGCTGGTGTTGAGAGGATTGAGCTCCTGGCCATAACCTCCATCTTACATTCATGTATGTAATTAGTATTTGCTACATAATATATATATATATATATATATATATATATATATAGCACTTAAGACTTATATACTGCTTCATGGAGCTTTACAGCATTCTTTAACCGGTTTATGGTTTACAGAGTAAACATAATGCCCCCAGTCCTCATTTTACCAGCCTCAGAAGGGTGGAAGGCTGAGTCTATTCCTAACATTTTTATAAATTTTTATAAGAAAGACTAGCATATTGTCAAAATTTATTCATCTTTTAAAAGTGAAGTTATTGCTAAAATGGCAACCCAAGGAAGTAATGAGCACTCATTCTCTTGCAGGCCAGGTATTTCTTTTGGGGAGCATGAACTGGATGATTTCAGGTAGCAGATGGTATCTGGCCTGTTGGTGGCTAATCCGTGCTAGATCAATAGCTGTAGCTACTATACACAACAGTAGGCTTAAAAACATATTTTCTTAACGGTATTTTCTCATTAAACATCAGAAATGAGTAAGTCTTACATCCTGAAACTATCTACTGTGGTAGAAACAGATGCCTAAAGGTGCTTTTTCAAGAGGCAACTGGACTTCCTGGTTTTTCTTTGAAGACGTTTTGCTATCCATTTAAGAAGATGAATAAGCTTCTTGGATGAGAAGTGAAATGTCTTAAGAAAAACCAGAAAGTCCAGTCACCTCTTGAAAATGGGACAATCATGACCTGGATGACTTGAGAATCTCCATAGACATCTACTAGGGAAGAGTATCTTAATATTTACAATCACACTTAAGTTTAAAAGTTGAGCAAAACTGGAATATGCCTTGATCTTAGAACTGAGTTGACCATATTTGAAGATCTTCAATAGCCAGGGACTATTTAATACCTGGTGTTTTAAGATCAGGTTTCTATATGAAACCAAAGGATAGGGAAAGCAAATGAATTTCTTCCCAGCCCTTTTACAGTAGCATTGATGGAAGGTGTTTGCATTTTTTCCTGTTTTAAGTTTCTGGTCTCCCTTCCTATATTTAATGTGTAACAGGGGTGTCAAACTGGCGGTCCAGATGCGTCATACGCAGGCCACGCCCACCCCAGCTCCACAAAGGGGGAAAACATCGTCATGTGATAGCAATGTGACCCCACAAGTTTTGACACCTGTGCTGTATAAGGTAGCCTTCATTTAATATCCAATTGCTTGCTACTGTTTGAAGTTTCCACAGCTCTTAACAAGTACTTACTGGGTCCTCATGGTTGCAGTTGTTGCAGCATCCGGTCACATGATTGCAATTCAGGCAATTGGCAATAGGTTTGCAATTACAACAGTTGCATCCCAGTCACATCATCTTTTGTAACCTTTACTGCCACCTAGCAAGCAGAATCAATGGGGAAGCCAGCAAGCAGTTGGAAATATTGTGTAACTATGGGATGCTGCAGCTGCATGGGATTTGCCTAACGGCAATTAGTAGTGACAGAATTCCCATTGTAAGCCAGTATAATCCTGCAACGTTGCACTTATGACTGTGTTGCTTAGTGTCAAAGTTCCCAGCCCAAATTATCACCAGTAAGAATTACCCATAGTACCCATTTCCCTGAAAATAAGACTGGGTCTTATTAATTTTTGCTCCAAGACACATTAGGTCTTATTTTCGGGAAAACATGGCACTAAATGTGTCCCAACTGGCTGATGATCTTAACTGGAGCTTATTTTGGGGGTAGGGCTTATATTACAAGCATCCTGAAAAAAATCATTCTGGGGCTTATTTTCCGGTTGGGTCTTATTTTGGGAGAAACGGTGTATGTGTACAAGAAAGTGAGATGCATATGGTGCTTTAGCTCATGTAATCAGGATGGAAAGAGATCTGAAGCAGCCAACAGGATCCAAACTAGTACTGATGTTTAATAGAACTTTTTTTCTCTATATCCTCCCTTGCTTCCCCCAACCAAACCCATCCAATTTTCAAATTTTCTCCCTTCCCCAACTACATTTTACTGAATGCTGTTCTATTTGGTGATGGGCAAAGTTCTGAGCCATTTTACATAATTCCTTTTCAACATTCCATTTACTTGGAAAAACTGGAGGCTAAATACAAATGGCACTCCTACATTTTTGCTGAAAACTCAAAATCCTTGTGAGGCAAAAGCAGCTTCTTTACACATTTACTCTACTACCCGTATCTACTTTTCTCTCTTCCCCAAAATAGTAATTTTTAAAATTCATCTCTCTTCAAAAGCAAATAGTTAATTGGAATGTCTTTCCAAATATAAAGGACTGCAGATTAATGATCCTGAAAATTATGCAGAGTCCTTGACTTACAATCACAATAGAGTCTAAAATTTGTTAAGACATTTGTTAAGTGAGCTTTGCCCCATTCTACCACCTTTCTTACCATAGTTAAGTAAATCAGTGCAGTTGTTAAGTTAGTAACATGGCTAAGTGAATTTAGTTTCCCCATTGACTTTGCTTGTCAGGTTGCAAAAGAACATCACATGACCGAGATACTGCAATTGTCATAAATATGAGAGTTGCCAAGCGACTGAATTTTGATCGCATGGTCACTGGGATGCTGCAATGGTCATAAATGTGAAAAACGGTCTTAAGTCCTGTATTTCAGTGCCATTGTAACTTCAAATGGTTGCTAAATGAAGCATTGTAAGTCAAGGACTATCTGTATTCTGCAGGTATTTCCAAGTCTGTCTCAATATTTTACTCATTGTTTTTGAAAAATTACTAAGGATTTACAGATTATTTATTATAAATAAAACTGAAGGATCAGTATTAAACATTGATATCAACATAATAGTTTAATTCAGTATGATGTGAGAGTCCTTAAAGTTTTAATTCTGCATTTTTATTACTACGGCATCATTTATGTGCTGACTTCCTATTTTGGTATAAATGGATCTGGAATGACGAGAAGAAACATGTTTTACTCTAGGCTTGCAGAAAGCCAGTACTGACACAACTGCATACGGATACATTTTCATAGCCATGTTTAATTGGCAGATAGTGAGATAAAAGATAGCATTCAAATAAGAATATATTTCTATTGGTCTTTTAGCTCCTTCAGTCTTCTAATGGCAGATTTCACTGTCACTGCTGACGTGGTGCTGGAAATAAACAAAAGTATTGTTGTTATTAGAGTCAGGAGTTTGGCCACAATTGAGATGTACCTAGAATACTACTACTCATCCCAGAAAGGGATAAGAGGACTAACCCAACAGACCCCTTAACCAACTAAAAATAAAATAATTCAAATTATATACTTCTACCATGGCCCCAAATACTCTACACCAGGTCATTTCAATTACAATCACCAAAGAATAATCTATTAATTGCATTTGAATATTTCCCTCAGTTTATACAGCATACCCCACCATAGGTAAAAATGGAACATTCACTCAAAACTTAAGTCTAAACACCGCGCTGTTATCTTACTTGTAGGTCCAAGCTCCACCAGCCACTGTTTTCATACATGAGCCACAATGCCAAATACCCACTGCTTTCCTTTTCATTTTGGTCTGTAAGAAAAGTATTTTCCCATTTGGTAAGTATTCAAACTACACATTCAATTGTACTAATGCACATTTTCTAACTGCACACATTGTGTTTTCATAAATTGGTTCACCTGGCAATACGTGCATATATAAGTATGCGTCATATACCGTAGCACATCCCAGAGTGCAGCAAGCAAATCATAGGAGTCACATAATCCCCACCGATGCCTTGGGGCAAAGGAGACAAATAGTTGTCAAAAGCAACTATTTTTGAAGCTCTCCTGTAGAACTGCTCCAATAAGGAACACTACAATGCCTTATTTTTATAAGAGTAATATGGATCAGTTTTATTATTAAAAAAGTAGAAAGGATTTTGCTAACTCCACTTTGAAGAAAGAACGTAAAATTTCCTCAAGCAGATAGCCAATGTAAAAATTCCAAGCACAATAAATGGTACGATTAAGCAGGCTGGTTCATACAAGGGTCAGTAATTAAAAATTAATCCTACATTTGACATAAATTAGTAATAACTATGGGGAGTCTCTCTCTTTTTTTTTGCACTGGTTATTTTTCACATGTGCAGCAATAAACAAAGTTCCAATTAAATATTATATCATCTCTTTAAAACACATTTTTTTCCTGGGTTTTTTTCATAACACCTGAGTAAATTCCTTAATTCTGAAGCTTCAAAACATTTGGAAAATCAATTACTAGTGATATTTAACCTAAACAATAGTAAAAAGTATTTTAGACTTAATATTATGACAGTGCTCTACTAGGATTTTATAGAAGCATTCTGTACACTGAGGAGAATGAAGCAAAGCATTTTTCCAGATCCTTCCTTTTCCATAGGAATTTTAATTACCTTTATTAAGATAATTCTTAATAAACCACAGTCCCAATACATATGGGAACAACCAAATAAGAAAGAATGGATTAGGTGGAATGTCCAACTCAAACTTCTTCCTTGTAACTGAAATCCCCATATAAACCACAAAGTAACTATTCATACATCCATACATCTGGTTTCACACAGAAATGGCCTGATTATTTCATTCTGGAGGATTCAGAGCATCTTCAAACATGTCAGAGAATTAAAAGAATTTCCCAAACTGGCACATTAGCGTAGAGATATTTAAAAATATATGTATCAGCTCCTACATTTCATAAATTTATATCTAAAGTAAAGTCTCTCAGGAATAACTGACCCCTTAAAACTGAAAAGACATGGACGTCCTCTAATTAAAAACAATATTTTCATACATTTGCTGCTATAAAGTAGAGTCTTACCTTTCCACAGAAGGAGCATGTATACTTAGCATGTTGGCTAATTTCAATTTTCTTCACCATCTTCCTGAGGGAAGCTCCATATCGGGTACCATATTTACCTACAATCCCAACCTTCTTAGTACGCTTGGCCTGTTACAGCAGAGCAACAAAAGTGTCACATTTTTCATTTCTGTTACCATTATCTGTTCTCATCAACATAAGTACATAGAATGAGAGATATTGTTGTGTATTATTGCAAGTATGGACTGTAGGAAGACCCAAGGTCTTCAGTTGATTTATTAATTTCACAATATAACTTCAGATGTATTTGCATGCCACACTGAATTACAAACTATGAACTATGTTTTTGTCTAACCTGTTAGAACCATAGCTCATCTATGCATAAATCTTTTACAAGCCAATATTTTCAACTTAATCCACTTCAGAGTTGAGGGGAAAAAATGAAGCGATAACCCAATGAATGCAATTTTAAGCCTTAAGAGTAAGTGAAATACAAATGAAATCAATTTTAAAGAAGCAAACAATTACCAAACTAAGCACATTTAAATATTGGGGAAGATAATATGCATTACCAGCCTAATTCCGTATTTGCTTACTATTGTTTCAATGAGTTTAATACAATTCTTGTTCAAGTCAATGAGATTCTAATCACAGTACTTCACCCAAACAACCAAGTGGCACAACAGGATAACTTTTGTTGACTAAAGATGACAAGTGCATAATATTAATCACTATATAATTATTGCATATTAAATATTACTTTATTAACATAATATTTACACTTGCTTGCCTTGTTACCCAAAATGTACTAAATATTGTATTTAGTTGTATCAGTTCAACTATTATCCCTAAGTCCAGACCCCAATAGAAATAATTGCCTCTGGATAGGGACCGATCTCCCAGTATTACAAATAAGGCTAGCAGCATCCTGTCCAGGAGCTCCGAGTATTACAAACTAATTTTTTTCTCTCCCTACAGAAACCTTAAAAAAAAAGACTTAAAACTTGATGGGAAATTATCAGGAAAAAAAGGGGAGAGCGGAGAAGGATGGAGCAAACAACAGAATGGCTGGCTGGCAAAGCGCTTAACCTATACGTGAAATTGGAAAGTTTCAGCCACAAATAATCATTTTTTTTTAAAAAAGTGCAAGCGGCTATAATGCAAATATGGGTTACCTCCTGCAACAGGAGCGCCTTTGTGCAAAAAAAAAATATTAATCAATTAATCAACAAGACTTACAGCGTTTAATTGTATGCGAAGGAAGAAAACAAGTAACAATTCTTTACCCCCCCCAATTAGGCGCTTTCCATTCAAGCGCCGTTTTGCAGAAAGGAGCGAGCAAGCGCGAAACCTTGATGTCTTAGCATCATAATAATACAGACTCCCGCATTCACATACCCAATTCGCGATTCTTACCGAAGCCGGCTATACCCGGCAGTCTCCCGCGAGCCCGCCCTAAAATCACCTCTAAATATTCCCAATATCCCCAGATATCGTTTCCCCAGATATTTCATCCCACATATTTCCAGATGCTGGCCCCGCAAACGCGAGTAACGGGAAAGATGGCAGCAGATGAAAACGAATATAAATACAAATTACAACTCCACTCACCATCTTGCTCCTCCAACAGGCCGCGGAGAGAAAGAAGGAAGTGCCTTCTGCGCATGCGCAGTGTCCGTGCCGCTGCCAGGAGAGACCGGAAGAAAAAATGCACACACGTGAACAACGATAGAGTCTGGCCTTTCCTTTGCGCTCCATTTTATCCTGTAGTAGTCGGACAACGTCGGCGGACCAACTCCCCCCCCCTTCCAAAAATTAGCATCCCATGTTTTCGATTTTTTCCCACCCCGCAATGCCTCCTTTTGCTGTTCATGCAAGTGTAATAAAAAGTATTGTTCGACGGGTGAAATGGGGTTTTTGTTAAAAAATAAAATGATAGAACACATCGTATTTATAAACAATATTTTTACTGTAGAAAAATTGCTAGGATTGCGCATAACACTTCTATTAATGTCGATACATTTCTTTACAGCCCTGTTTCTTAAACTGTTTGCCCTTTCCCACTTTTAAAAATTACAGAGGACCCCCAAAAAAGCATTGGCTTGTGTGAGTTATATTTATCACTGCTTACCAAATTAAAAATTAAACTTGATACAGGTATATTCATTGTATCATGTAAAAATAACTTATGCCCATAGATAATAACATTTTTCATTTTTAAAAAACCCCTGAATATTTTAACAAAAAAAAAAAAAAGAATATTTTTTTAAACGTTTGCAAATATTTTCAATATCTGGCAAATAACTGATTCCACAAATTCCTAGGTTAGTCTTGAGGGACCCCATGAGGTCCTCAGTCCACACTTTAAGAAACACTCTTTTACAGCATGACCAGATTGCTATAATCAGCTTTGTAAAGGTTATTATCAAAAACTTTTCAGAAACTTCATGTTGGTATTTTTTTTAAAAAAGCTGAGATAATTGCATTTGCCTCAGTTTGATATGTGAAGCCACCGGTTGTACACCATAGTGCAGCAGAGAAATGAAAGCATCATGCTAGTTTTGGGGCTGTTAAAAGATAAGTAATGTAGGCAGATAGGAGAGAAATGACTGGGGATTCCTGGGAAGCAGTGAAGGGACGTGCAGATATCACTGAGAATAACATTCTGATGGAAGGTATTCTACAAGTTCGGGGATCCCAATTCTAAAAAAAAATAAATAAACTGGTTGCCAGAATGCCTCTGGTCTCTCCAGCAGACAAAGGAGACATGATCACAAAGCCTGATGCCAGGGGGCCCTTTCTGCAATGGGCAATTGGAGCCTCTCATATAACCAACCACCCTGGGCTCCTCCTCCACATGGAATAGATAATTTATACATTGAAAGAGTTGTTGTAGTTTCCAAAGGATGATACTAATTTTCTGCTGGATCACCTTGATCTGCTTCAAGCAGCTAAGCTGGCACCGGGATGTAGGTTCAGTTGTGAGCATATGTCCTCAACAAACAGCAAGCACAGAATATCTTGGTGCTGTGGGGCAGGAGAATTACTGCAGGTTCGAATCTCGCCAAGGCTCAAGGTTGACTCAGCCTTCCATCCTTTCTAAGGTAGGTAAATTGAGGACCCAGTTGTGGGGGCAATAAGCTGACTTTGTATAAATATACAAAAGAATGAAGGCTATTGCTTAGCGCATTGTAAGCCGCCCTGAGTCTCCAGAGAAGGGCGGCATATAAATCAAATTAAAAAATAAATAAATAAATAAATAAATAAATAAAAATGCACGGAAGCTGTAAAGTTGAAATTGCAAACATGCTCTGTCCCAAAAGAAAAATACCATATGTAGTACATACCCATAACAAATAAACAGACTCTGGTTTCAAATCACTGCAATCATTAGATTTCCACTGAAACTAGTGGATGACAAAGATTTTACTCTTTATACCTTGAGGCTGGCCTTGGGCTATATTTGGATAAAAGGGAAAGTGTTATTTCAATTATGGTACTGCTCAGAATGATTTAAGCCTGTCACTCACAAGCTGAGATCAAGATGAAGGTAACATCACAAGTTTCACAACAATTGACTATGCCAGTAGATGTTTCATTGTATGTAATAAAAGAAACTAAACTATCAGCTATATATTGGTTTTGGCTAATATTTGTTCAGTTAAACTCAAAATTTATACCTTTTAAGTGAAGTTTTAATTAAGGGTTTAACTGCAATCTTATGCTCAATTTTCCAAGAAGCCTATTAAAACATGTTTTCCTTCCGTTCACTCATGTTGGATTCTTCTTGGATTTTGCTTGCACAAGTCTCTGTAGTTTTCTTGGCAAGGTTTTTTAGAAGTGATTTGCCATTGCTCCCTTCCCAGGGGTGAGAGAAAGTGACTAGCCCAAGGCCATAGAGCTGTATTTGAGCCCAAGTCAGGACTAGAACTCACAGCCTCCTGATTTCTAGCCTTAACTACGACTACAAACTGCTTCTTCTGTTCAATTTAATATGAATTAATAATATACACTTTTATTCTTTTTATTGGATGTCTAGTAAGAATAATTATTTTTAATTATATACTTATTTATTTGCTTGATATTTATAATTCTTAATATTAACTTTTCCTCCCATCAAATATTTCTTCAAAACATTTTATGGATCCACTAATTGTTCTGAAAACAGCTTAAAAACATTCATGTATCGGTTACTCTTCTGGTAGAATATCAACATTTAAAATTTGAACAAAAATCAATCAGTGAAATTACCTGACAAATTGTAGTACTCAAATTTTGGCCAAATGCTGATTTCCATTGGCAAAATATTTTATTCATGTTGAGCCTCTGGCGTATCCTGAGGAAAAAATATTGCTTTAAAGTAAATATTTGGATAGATGATCCAGGAACTTTTGGAACTCTTATGATTAGAGAGATTTGTCTTTCAATAGTTGATAGGATTAGAATTTCAATCTGAAAACACAGTTATCTGAGACTCAAGTTCTGTTATGTGCCAGCATGCAGAGCTTTGAACTACAAATGACTGAGTAAAATAGGGATTCGTTTTATTATATCAAATTAAGGATATGTCTTTATCCTTATTAACACAAAATTCATTTAAATAAAGTTTATTTGAACAACCAAATAATTCACTGATCGCACTGATTTTTTTTCTCTTTAAATTACACTTTAACTAATAAAAATAAACATAATTATATAATATTGTACAATATCCTTGTATTCATGGAAATTACTGAGTACGCTTTTTTTTACATGGACTTGCTGAGAAAAAATGTCCTGCTCTATTGTTCAATGAGTTTTCCTGCCCAGAATCTTCACATGTCTCCATTGCCTCCCCAAGCAAGGCTTCATCCATGTCCTCTATATCCTCTGAAAAAGTCCTCTGGAAAAGGTCCAACATGGTCTGCTGCTTGGGGTCCTCCTATGGAATTAAAGAGAAAGCCTTTTTCAAACTCTTGACAACACGGCCACATTTATGGCAGTTTGCAGCATCTTGTGGTTGTGTGAACTTCATTTTATGATGGTTTTGCCAAAAATTGGCACTTAATCCCAGTTTTCAACAAAACTGCACTGATAGCAAACAGTTGGTTTGCTTAACGATTGCAGCATTTGCTTAATTACCACAGCTGTCACTTTATGATTGCTGCAGCCACTTAACATATGCCACGAAAAAGTTGTAAAATCTTTGCCTTATGACCTGCGAACATAATGGGCATGCTCCATTACGTCATATGTTAAGGACTACTTGTAAATTACCTAACTGTGGTGTATTCCTAGGAAAAGATTGATTCACTGGTGTTGTACATACAAACTGACAAGTTTTATTTGATTAAACTTTACATAGCTGTCCTAGACAGGAGATTAGCCGCTGGAGGTCAAATGAGTGGGCGTGGCTAAAGAAAGAACTGAATAGGACTATAAGTAAAAGTGGATGAGTGCATTCCTTCTTTGTCTGGAGCACCCTTTCTTTCCTGGCCTCTCTCTTCTCTCCTCCTGAAGCATTAGGCTATGGGAAAGAGAGAGATAATTCTTAATAGAGGTTTGCATTTATTGCCTGGGGAAGTCTTCTGAAATTAGGCTGAAGTGCATTTGTGCCCACAGATCTGCAAACCGCCAATCTCAGGCTCAGTAAATGGTTAATATCTGTAAGCAGGCTTTACTTCAAAATCGTTCCACATCATTTTGGTCACATCAGAAATGTTTACTGTTGTTATTTCAATTACAGCCCTCACATGTCTCTGTTCTTTCTCCCATAATTAATTTTGGGAACCAGTGGCCTTCTGGATTTATCCATCAATCATAGCCAGCTCAGGCAAGGATGAAGGATTCTGGGAGAGCTTCAGGTTCCCCAGTCCTGCTCTAAAGGATTGTCATTAATGTCTTAAATGTCATATTTATGTCTAAATGTCTTAAATACATTTATAATTTATAATTTATTATATTTATAATATATGTATTATAATCCCCAGTTTCTTCCTTCTTTTGCTGCTCAAAGTATTATATGTTTCAAAAAGAACTTCCTTACATTAAATTATGAAACATTGTTTGCCACACAGTAGTTTACCTTGCAGGTATAGTAATTTGTGGTTTCTGCTGTCTCAGAGAACTTGGCTTCTGATAAACCAGCTTCACCTAACACCCTGATCTTCTTTTCAATCAGTGGCCTATGGAAAATACAGTAACTTCAATTATCAAAATATTCTGAGGGCCAGTCCTTCAGTACTGTTTGCATACTAAAAATGTAGATATTTATAATTAAGCTAAAACATCTAGTTACTATTATAATCATGCAGTTCATGAAAAATATTGAAAATTATTTGTAATAAAACAACAGATGTCATGCATTAAATGTGTTCAATTTCTCTTGTAGAGGATTGTGTAATACAATCATTAGTACTGGATTGGGACCAGGAGTATTTTAATATCCTCACTCAGCCATAAAACCTGTTGACCGATTTGAAGCAATCACTGAACTTCAACTTATACTATCTCACACAGCTGCTTTGAAAATAATATTGGATGGGGATTCCATATACATGCCTTAAGTTCCTGATGCAAAAGTAGCACATAAATGCACTGCACAAATCTGAAATTTACAACCTATGAATTACTGAAGAGCATAAGATAACTGTCCAGAGTTGCTTAAGATGGACAGCCATATAAATCTTTTAAATAAATAAATAAGTTACGAAGCATTTTTGGCCAAGAATAGGTCCATCCCCTCTCAAAACTCAGGTTTTCAATTCCCTATTGAAAGTGTTGCAGTGTTAGAC